TTTTAGTTGAATAAGGAGGCGAAATGGTGGTGGCGTCGCGACATGTTATAAATACGCTTCCTGATGAAATATCTTGCATTTCAATACGTTGCATTTCCTCAACATGTCTTAGCACAACTTGGATGTAATTCTACAGTTTGTAACCAAGGCCGGTAATGGCGGTGCGGTAAGTATTGGCCAATATGCTGCTAACATAGATAAGACAGTAATATTAGCTTTATTTCTCGGAAAAAAACTGGGAGAATGGAGATATAACTGGGTTGACATTTCGGCAAGAAGCGTTTATCGAAACAATAGCAGAAGTGAAAATTTCACTTGTGCAGAGAAAATTTTTATTTCACTTCTGCTTTTGTTTCGATAAAGGCATGTTGGCGAAATGTCAACCCAACTATCTGTTCATTCTCTTAGTTTTTCTCCGAGGGATAAGGCTAATGCTCCAGTCTTATCCATGTGAATAATATTCCCGGCAAATGCACTGGACAAATTACGTTATTCAATATCCTCTTAAATCCAAGATTAAAGATCCTGATTCAATCCTGCCTGTCAAAAGCACGACTGGCCAACCCACGCAGGGCAGATGCAGCTATACGGTTAGCTGACATTACAGGCCACCGCTTACTGTCTAGATGTCTGGTTAATGTAGGTGCATTGTTTATTGCTGCCGAGACTTTAAGAGCCCTTAAATCGCTAGAATAAGGAACGTCATAACGTCATTGGTCTTCTGCGATTCGACCAAAACTACAATATTCTGGCATTATGGCAGGATTTTTACTGTGTCGAAAAACTATTTTTCCTACCTCATATTAAATGACAACTAACCAAGTAAAGCATCAGGACGAAAAACAATGCAGTTGTCAAGCATCTAATACAAACTTCAAGGGATGACGCAAATGCTCTTGCTAAATAAAAAAGTGTTGAATGCGTGCGTCATGAATTGCCGAATTTAGGGTTTGCCGACGATATAAAAGTAATCATTGAAGATCTTAACGCACTTTTGGTTTGTTTGCTTCTTTTGTAGTTTCTTGTCTAGTTTTATTTTACTAGCTTTCTAGCATGGATGCCTGGTATGATAGCAACTACTGCATATAGGGCGCAAGTCTCATTATTCCGAATAATCAGGAGTAAATGTAGACCACGAATGTCGGAGCTATGCCTACAAAAGTGGGATTTATCCTCACATCGTCGTTCAAAAAAGCATCGGCACAGCTCATCAAGCATCATTAAGCTTTCGGCCAGCACTGGATGTCACCTCCATGAGGACAACAAAAGTGGCGGAAGTCTCACGCTTCCATTGCGATTGGGCGCCTGGTAACCATGTTGTTGAACCGGTCCAACTTTCTGTTCTACAGCTGAGATATTTGAAATTGGCTGAATGCGAAGTACTCATGGCCGAGCAAAGCAGCGATTTTTGTCTTTACAGCTGCAACAGAAACGATTAATTAACACCCAGCAGTGAAAAATCACAGCCGAGATGCACTATGCAGACGAGTGAACTAGCCAAATGGTTGTTGTGCAAAGGCCTTAAGACCCACTCGGCATGAGGCCAAGCACGAAGTGAAATCACCAATCAGTTTGGCAATGATTGGGCTGATGTTTTTTAAAAAAAAATTAAATCCGGGAAATCAAGAGCATGCACTCTTCATTTAAGCTGCGCTCTTCTTCTCCGTAATCTAGCGGTGAGGGATAACGTCGTGCAACAACTCTGCAGTGAAATGATGTGGCTGGTGTTACAGGCATAAACTTGGATGTCTGTCATCAGGAAATGAAGCCCAGGCCTTTGGGCGTCATGGCTCAATGCGCTGCTAACTAAGCTTGCGCAACCCAACATTATCGTGTCGTACTGCTGGTATAGATAGCAGCATCCAGTGGCGTCTATTGTAGACATGCTCATGAAGTTTTGAATTTACAGCCGGAAAGTTATCATGCGCAGTTCTTTTGCGCTTGGTACTCCAGCCATGTGAAACTGCAATGTACGGCACTTAAAGGGAGTGTTCCGCAGTTATTGTTTTTTTTAATTGAAATAGCCATCTTGAAGGCCTTTCGGTACTGTTCACAATCCTGCCCTTTGGAAGACCTCAGCCTCTCTAGTTTTTGAGATACACGCACGCGAAAATAGGGTAAGGTATATCGGGGAGAGTATTTCAAAGTCACCTTGACGTTCATGCCGTTATAATAACGCGCTTTGAACCCTACTATTCCATAAGCTATGCAGCCATCAAGGCCAAGAAAAATTAATTGCCAAGGCGTTCATATCTGGCGTTCGTCAGCGCGCTTTCCAGATTTTACGGCCGTCAATAGGCTCTCAACCCATGTTGGGCAAGGTACGATGGCGTAATCAAACCATGACGCATTGAGAAATATATTTAATGAATAGAGTATTGTGCTGTGTAGAGAAGTCTTTTCGACCTAAAACCTATATCAATAGGTATAAGTGAGCTTGTTTCATCATATTTGATACTTGCTTCGATATCTCCAAATGTGAAGCATTCCCTTTAGCAGACAAGTCATACTGATTTTCTTATAGAGTTTAATTAACTTCTGAAATTTGCATCTTAAATCTAACGCAGAAGGAGAGGGCGATACAAATTGTACCGGTTGAATATCTACGGCAAAATTTCCAGATGAGGTGTTCATATTTGCTGACCCTCTAAGACGATAAATGTCATCTAACTGCAGACCTGTTGCACAATACGGTCTTTCGCAGGCGGGGTATGAAAACAAACGCCACGTGATAAAATAAATGTAAAATATCAGGGACCGATGTAACGCTCCTAGGTTGCAAAGCCCTTTACTGAAAAAGATGAGCAAGCTTTGATGATGTCACGCCAGCTACTAACATTGATAATTTAGCAATGGAAGGGGAAGAGCAGGCGACAGTCACGATGATTATAACTGATAAGCCAATCCAAAGTTTTTGGCAAGCCGCGTGGTAATAGCATGTCCAAATAGTAAGATATGTACGTTTGTTTTGTTTTACTTAAGTTCACCGGCTGCCGACGCCAGAGCACGTGCAAGAAAGGAAGAGTGGAGTATTATAGCCGAGAAACGTGCGTGCGTGCGTGCGTGCGTGCGTGCGTGCGTGCGTGCGTGGAGGGCACAACGTACACATCCCGTGACTCAATTTGCCTCATTCTCCCTTAACAGGTGACTGCAAGCGGCTACGATGTTATTATCGTGACGAGATCCGGTAGACTAACGTAGCTTAGCTTCGAGACTCATTGTTTATGGACCCTTCCTGGAAACCATGTGAATGACACTTTCCGGAAAAGTTGAAAAAACTTTCATTGTCGCATGCCATACATTCCAACTTGGCTTTCTAGACGCAGTTTCTTAAATGTACGCCTCTGAATTGCAGTGATACCGTTTTGGGTGTTTTTCTCAAGGCTATGTCATCCAAGTTAAAGCATGGCCAAAATTTAACGTTTATAGTTAGATGTGATCTTTTTGAAAGTTATGCTTCTTAACACGCGCTCGGGTGGGGGGTTACGTTGACCTCCCCCCCCCCGAAGGATTTTCCAGAATGGTTTCCGAACGGCCCGGCGCAGTCGCGCCAAATTTTGCATAGCTGTAGACAATTTAATAGCAGATCGCTTGACTTGAAAAAATTAGCTGTACCTTGTAAGATCGCTGGCCTATGGCAGGCCAAAGTCAGGCCATGTTTTCAGCGTAGGCACTATCTAGGGAACCGTCCAATCTGATACAATAACAGAGTGTTTGACGAAGCCATACATTTCTGAGGTGCTTTCTTATGTACCACAAATATTGAATGAGCAAATTACGTTGACCTAAGGTTAGGTATGAAGGTCAGACCAGAGCCAAAACCAACATGCTTTATTCTCTGGGGCCTGCTGTATGGGATAGGTTGTAGTGCTCATTTCGAATTTATTGACAGAATCGCACTATGCATCTTCCATTGACTTCTTAGAGGTCAGAACAGGTCATTGACCTAAGATGACCCGGGCAGACGTTTTGTTTTAGGAACATGCTGCCTGGTGTAATCTTTGTCGCCTATTCAAATGCAAAACTCAGAGAAGTCTTGTATGATTTTGGTGACCATGACCTTCAAAAGGTCAAGGAAAGTCACTGACCTCAAATGGGCTTGTGCTTTTGCTTAGAAACAGTTGCCTAGGTTCTTGGGGCACTTAAGAGACCAATTTGGAATGTTATCTTGTTTGACCTTATTTAACCTGAAGGTCATGGCTTAGGAAGCTCAAACTTTGACTTAAGTGGGTTCGCGTATAGGTCAAGACACGCTGTAAATTCGATGTTTCTAGCTTTCTTATTTGTCGAGATCCCAGTGGGCCAAATTGACCGCCCTCCTACCCGAGTGAATGGTATTTAGCCAACCACCCGAGCCCGTGTTTAACCCTCCAGATTATTATGTTACAGTTTTGTAAGGCCTTCATAACTCCGCATTGCCAGTTGTAGTCTTTAACACAGCAGGGCAGGCCAATGTAAAAATATTTTTCACATGCCTTATCTCGCATGATAAATCAAACGTAACACCTGTGAATGTCTGCTAGTGCCCAGTTGATGACGTTTTGGAAAGCTTTTGAACACTGTTTTCTATATGTTCGAAGCATGCTTGGTTCATGAGATAACAAGGCGGGTGTTAAAAAAGGCCTGATTGGACCCCAATGACCTAATTTAACTTGTCAAAGCTCACATTCAGCATTCCCCAGTCAAGCGTGTCTGATACAATTGGACGAGAACTTTCCCGTTTCGCTTCTACTTGGCTTGGGCTTACTGAACATTCGAGATCTTAGGGAGGCCCTCAGAGGCTCCTCGTGTGGCGAAAGTACAAAACGCCAGTAGGGCGAGTGCTAGGATAAATCGCTTCACTTTTTCCATTCGGCTCACGATGACGGCGTCGGGTTAGACTGGTCTGTCGGTCTGGTTGTCTCACATGACAGTGATGGTTTTGTTCCATCCTCAGCTTCTGTGACAGATGAAGCCGGTGTGATGGGCTGCGTGACAACGCTGACGTGTTCTGTCCCCAGCTTCTGTGACAACGGTGGTCGGCCTGGCGGGCCGTGAGGTTGGCCTGCCCTGTGACATGAGCGCACCTGCAGGCGACGTTACCCTTATCGTCCTCTGGTACACGGCACACTCAGACACACCGGTGTACAGGTGAGAAGGCAGAATGCATTAGCTAGAGCTGGAACATTTGTGGCGAGGATCGCATGGACAAAGATTACCTGGAAGCATGCCACCGCCTTTTGCTCCATGAGGACTGCTCGGTAAAGGCAATGATAAGAAGACTACCATGGGCTGATGTCGAGGGATGTGGTGGGCTCATTCCTTCCATTCAGCGCCATGGGCATAATGTGATGTTAAATTAGTTCGTGGCACGCCCCCCCCCCCCCTCCCTCTCCCCTACCACACGCGGTGACAACGCCCCTGTTCATATTGATCAGATCACTCTACGTATGTGGGAAGGGCCAGGTATTGGTATCATCCCGGGCTATAAAACCCCGCCAAGCGCAGTGATTGGTAAGGTGCAATATGTGCCTATAGGGGGAAGAGGCCGGAATTGGTCGCACCACAAAATGGCGTTGATGGTCCAGATGGGACGCGGCGGTCAATAGCCTGCGGCAATCGTGCTCGAACGAATGCGATAGCACAACGGTGTGGTTTTCCAACGCTTCGCCGCTCGCCGCCGCCACGCTGTGGACCCAGTTACGAACAGTCTGGCCCTCTACCCCTTTGTGTGCCAAGAAAACATGCATGGCGCCCTGGCGTACGTCGTGCGTGGTAGAAGGCATTGTCGCCGATTTACTGTGATCTGTGTGTCAGCTAAAGGCAATTTAATCAATGATTAGGTAATTTCGCTGACTCTGCCCTTCTAGCCCAGACTCAAAACTACTTCCAGCTGTCCAATCGTGCTGTTCAAATCCTATTTAGTTGAAGTTATGAAACACCTAGGAGGCGTTAAGGCTATTTATTAGTCTATGCATCGTTGAAATTCCTGGCTTAGGGTCCATTCAGTCGGTACAAATGTGACATCCATTGCTGATGTGTTCGTAGTTGTGATTACAACAAACGTGTGCGAATTACTAAGAAGTGGAGGAGGAAATGTAAACAAAATTATATGCAACACTGTTCCCAGCTTTGGAAGTTTGCTCTTCGGTTGCATTGGTCATTCGCCTTCCTTATTAAAAGGAGGCGAGTGAGATCATTGTCGTCACACATTTCGATCGTTGATCGAAATGTGTGACGGTTGTCAATGGATGTGCGCACCATAAATCCATCCGAAGTGTTTTCCCCTTTGCAGTGGAAGTAGACCCACAACATCGTTACATATCGACGTACCATGCAAACATAAGGAACCTGAACATGCAGCCAAGGTAATTTGCTTGATTATCCTCGCTCGATAGGGCCATTTGAAGCCCTCGCCAGACGACGGGGAAGGGGGAGGAGGCTCTCCAACCCACTTTTGAAGTAAGAAAAATATAATATCGTGGAACGCAGGAGCATACTGCCCAGCGTCTGAGTTATACGCCATGTTCTTTTTTGGTATCAGGTCAGTAAAAAACATTCAGGTCATGATAACAGTCTCATACGGACTATGCTGTAAATGAGACAAAATGTTTCCTCCCGGCATGATTTCCAAGCTAGGGAACACAAGGGAATTCCTTAGCCATTAGCGCGTTCCTCGCTGTCTTTTGGTTCTGCTATTGTCTTGTTTTTGGGATATGGGTGAATGAATGACATTGCAAGTCATGGAATAGTCGCAACATCTGAAATGTTCACTAGTGCGCAATACATAGTCCCAGTGTCGTTCTAAACAATACAGCAAAAAACGGGGAAAGCTCGATAAATTAATCACCGTCTAATCTATTCAATTGTGCTCTTTTCTCTGGGTCAATATGTGACCTATGAGGTCGAGCTAGATCATGGAGGTGACACACGCTTTGTGTTGCTGTATAGTTTGGGAATTTGTGCTGTGATCATCGGTGAGACGCTCTTAAGTTTTATTTAACACCATCTCACTTAGCAATGATTTCGTTCATGCATATGATCGCTGGTAGGTTATGACAGCTATGACAGGCATATGGTCGTCGACAGGTATCATGCTGCTTCCTTATGACACAAAATAGTTCTTTTATCTCCCATATGGTACCCACCATATTCAGCTGCACTATACACATTAGGCCTAATAGGACGAACTGTTTCTGATGACCAATGTCCGGAAACTAGGTGAAGAAGTTGTGTCAAGTCAAAGGAGGCCACAGAGTCATGAAGTGTGCTGCACTAGTAGTCGTAATGCAGCGTCACGCCATGACTTGCAAACATGAGCATGGGCACTGAAGCTGAACTCTATACATTTTGCAACTGCAGTCACAGGTATTGACGGGTCAGCTCAGATGCCGCTTACAGTCACTGACAACTCAACCAACCTTGATTGGTCTATGAAAGCTCAATGACCCCTGAAGGTAAGTACCCGCAAGCAACATTAGTTAAAAAATGATGCATCACCGATACAGCATACTTTGCGTTAATCAAGGTGTGAACCATGATGATCGACACTTACTTGCGTTGAATTTTTTCTGAGCCATCGTAGCCTTTGCCCAATGAATTATCTACGATGGGTCGCATGAAGTTTGCCAACATCATGTTGAGGCGTGAATCACGACATATTCTTGCATTCGCGTGCACCTTTATTGTCGCATAAAAGCTCACCTGGGCATGTTCAACCAAACTTGACCTATGATGACCCTACCCTCCATTCTCAGACAGAACAACACATAACTGACGTTGAACTTGATGATAGCTACAAGACAAACCAATAGCATGGCCCAGATGCCAGCAAATGAACTGTGCTGTCGAGGTGATGAGAAACCTGACTCTGACATGACCTTTACAAATGGGTCACAAGTTATAGCATTTCCATGGGAAAATGCTGTAAATTGGACAGAGGGAGCAGCAATATCATAACGCTACCTAATTTAAAATGCAACGCAATGATTCTTGTAATTAAAAAGTTTTCAAGAACAAATCTCAGACCAGCGTTTCCCATCGCCAGCCTCGTGCTTGCCTGGGGGTGGAGTTGGAATCGACCCCGGAATCCGCCAAATATGCATTCAGTCGGCGTGGCATCGATACCTTTGAAATCCCCTGTCATTCATTGCTTCGGAGTCGAGTCAGTCAAGTCCTCGTTGAGGTGACTCCTAAAGAAATTTAAGCAACGGAGCATATTCATAACTGTACAGCATAAAAGTGCACCCCCAAAACTCCAATCATGAGTAACTGCATTTTCTTTTTAGAAAGATTTAATCCAAATTACTGGATTTCTGGAATCAGACCACACGCTGAGCAGTGCTCATTAGTTTTCGAATCAACTGCATTAGTTATTTGAGCCAACGACATGATTTGATGGCGAAAGTTTAATGTGCCGCAATGCTCGCAAGGTCCGTCCTGTCCTCTAACGCCACCTGACATTTCACGCAGAAGAAGCGATGCATAGCTGTCGAAATAAACTTTCCCGTGCTGCTTTCATGTAAAAGGCCATTTTTTAGACCATTCTCACTGGAATCAATTTAAGCAACAAGGATTTCAAAATTCATCCACATGTCCGTGAATTGGAATCTCAACATGAGTTCAAACTCTAACTCCGTGGGAACGGATAGGATCGAAGTCGAGCTGAGTTGTCGGTGTCGTAGTCGGAGCCAGCCCCTTTTTGTTTTAAGCCAGAATTGAATCAATTCTGCTGAGACTGAATCAAAGCATGCAGTGTGTTCATATTTGGAAGGCAAGGTACACCAGCAAAATGTTGAAATGCAAAATGTGCCAAAACAAATCAGATATCTGGAATCGTCACCTTCCCATTATTCCAGAATGAGCCAGCGACAGATCAGGATACCTCAGAATAACAATGAACGCACCACAAAATTTCAGCTGAGCATTCAACTGAGAAGACCCCCAAGTAAACCATGTTTGGCCTCTGACATCAAGGTTGCACTTGCCCGGCATCTCTCATCCTACTCTTCCTTTAAGGGCGCCGCTAAAGCTCCATGGCTTTGACTGCGCGCTTGACTAAATGCTGTCATTACCACAAGACCTGGGATAATATGGTTCCAGTCCACGCTGTACTAAGACGCTCGGCAGCGTGACTGCTGAGCGTGCCGCTGTTTTCGCAGCGCCCGCCAATGAGTCATTGGATATCCAATTGTGCTGAGGCATGACGGCAGCCCACCTCCGGTAATGAATGGATGATGTGTCTCGCGGGGGAGGCAATGCTGCCAGAGCATTCACAATTACTGACTGCATGATCAAAGGCAGGAAAGCTCCCAAGAAATGTAATGTAGGGACTTCCCACCGTAGATCAGGCAGCAAGTAATTGTAAATGCCTTGGGAGCATTCTTCCCCTCCCCGTTGAGAGCTTATTACCTCAGGGGTGGGAAAACCCCAGAGGTATATAGTACCCAGTCGAGGTACCGCTTGTATAGACGTTAAGCTGCTCATCTGCCCCTCTTGATGTGCGAGGCTTGATTCCCTGTGGCGCCCGCCCTTCCTGTCGGGGTGAGAGGCGAGGGACACAATATAGCCTCAGCACATGAGGGGGTCGTAAAACACCAATGGCACATCCAGTCTCCAGCTTCAGCTGTTACTTAGTTTTATGTTTACGTTTATCGTTTTACTGCCCGCTACTGGTTTGTATTCGCTGTCAAACGTTCAGAGTGATACGTGGAAGATGCAGGTTAAAGCCATCCTGCGAGGATCAGCATGCGAACATGGACGTGTGTAACCGGACGTTGAAGATACGATATCTGAGGTTGGAGCTCATGTCACACTCCCTCTGACAATGACCTGTCCCGGCCTGGAGCCGGTAACAGCCTCCCTCCGACGGTGATCCGCCTCGGTCTGGAGCCGTTAACAGCCTCCCTCCGACGGTGACCTGCCTCGGTCTGGAGCCGGTAACAGCCTCCCTCCGACGGTGACCCGCCTCGGTCTGGAGCCGGTAACAGCCTCCCTCCGACGGTGACCTGCCCCGGCCTGGAGACGGTAACATCCTCCCCCTGACAGTGACCCGCCCCGGTCTGGAGCCGGTAACAGCCTCCCTCCGACGGTGACCTGCCCCGGTCTGGAGCCGGTAGCAGCCTCCCTCCGACGGTGACCCGCCCCGGTCT